CTCTTTCATCATAAGTACCTACTAAATTTGTGGAGGAAGCTTTTCCTCAGAGGATATAAATGTCCATGTTGGCAGTAGCTTTTCTTTCTGTACTTTAAAGATGCCACTCCAGTAGCTTATGTCTTCCATCACTGTATTGAGAAGTCTGTTGTCAGTCATAGTCTTGCTCCTGTAAAAGAATAGATTGAATATACTTTATATCCAAAATACTTAATACAGAATAATTTCAGATTCCAGAAAATGAATGTATGTATATCACAACATCATACACACACACACACACAGAGGGAGAGAGAGAGAGAGAGAGAGAGAGAGAGAGAGAGAGAGAGAGAGAGAGAGAGAGAGAATGAATGAATGCTAAAATACTTTTAAAAAGCTTGCTAACAGTTTTTTTCTAATTCCAGAGTGTGTGAAATTTTTCATTATGATTTTGTTTGACATGTATACCTATCTGAATAAAGGTATAGGGGAGACAAAGAGGTGAAGGAGAGGGAAAGGAGGGAAGGGTGAGATCCTAGTCCAAGGATTTATAATTTATGTTTCATGCACACCCAATACACCTAATACCTGAAGATCATTTTATAAAATACTTCATAAAATATCTTAATTTTTTCATGAAGCAGAGTTTTTGTATTTTGACCCATATTTTGACTCAACTCATTGCATGAGGTCAGGTATGGAAGTTTCCATTTGTAATAGCTTGTTGATACTCAAATAATTTGGAACTGGAAGTGTTTTGAATTTTGAATTTTGGATTAGCAATGTCTTAATCTTTTATGATGGGTTTTGTTTCTGAACTCTATATGTCTGTGTTTTAAAAGATGTGAGGCTAGGTGCTTATCCAGCTCAGCATGCTCAGAGCTTCTTGAATCTCTAAATCCATTAATCATTTAAGAAACTCTCACAATCATCTTTTCAGGTATGCTTTGTAAGTATTCCTTTACTCCTTACTATTTGGGCATTCAACTACATTTTATTTTCTTTATTATTTTTTATGTGTATGAGTGTATTACCTGCATGTGTATAAGTGCACCTATGTCCTGCAGTGCCCACAGAGGTCAGAGACAGCAGAGGATCTCTTAAACCAGAGTTATGGATGGTTGTTAGCCTCCATGTGGGTGCTGGGAATTGAACCCCAGTTCTCTGCAAGAGGAGTTAAGGCTCTTAATTTCTGAGCCATCTCTCCAACTCCATCAACTACATTTTAAAACCCTTTGATTTGGTCTCATAATTTCTAGGACTCTATTTCTATATTTAATCATTCTGTTTGCTTTTTTATTGCTGTTTATTATAAACCTGCATTTAATTCATTAATTTTACCTTATACTAATTTCAATATGTAGCTTTACCGACCTATTAAGT